CTTTTACAGGCTCCTGCGATTGGTACGCGGGCAAGTGTATGGGCTTACAAAGACTCTCGCGGAGACTTCGCACCTGACCCGTTCAACAGCATGGAAAGTGTTGAATTGATACAACACTTTGGGAGTGCAGGGGGGTGGTGGTCAAAGATACACATGTATTTGTCCGCCACACCCGCGCTGTGGTTCAGAACAGCACAGAACCCAGGCCTCAGAACAATTGGTATCCGAAGCCCACAGATACCAGCGGAGCTTCCATGGGTGGTAATTGTTGAAACTACGATCGCGATACCCGGCCTCACCAGAAACGAGAAATCGACCATATTCATGCTGATACTAGACAGTATCACAAAGATATACACAGTGACCAGTGATGTTGTGAACCTGGTTGATATGCGAACAAACTCGTCTGCTACCGTAATGGAGGTCGGAATTAGATTTTCCACGGAAAGTGGCGCTCGTACGGCCATGCAAAGCATACAATCAGCACAGCCGGATATACACACGAAGATCATGGAACACATTCAACTGTCGACAGATAGTGTCGTGGGTGCCATTAACGCGTCACAGATCATCGCATATGTCAAGTCGGACATTATTGATGCACGTACAGGTAGCATTAACACACCCCCTCTTACTACTCCCACTACTCCCCCGCCGACTCCTGATAAAGCCACTTCCGTTGTCACAATTGTTCTGGCGGTATGTATACCCATAATATGCATCATTGTATTTGTCGTTATTTTCCGCAGACGAACTACCAAATCCAACACACCGACTACTACAAACATGTCTCTCATGCAGACGTTGACGAATCACATCACCAACTTCAACACAGAACCCGTGATTGATTCCATTAGAGACGACAGTGACAGTCTTCTGCTGCTCATTAAGAAAACTAAGATTGATCCGGCACTGAATGCCCGATACGGTAATATGATACCTCTATAGAACTTAATCACATAGAATGATTACATCGAGAGGGGGTGGGAAAGAGAGAGAAAGAGAGAGCCTTGTAAACATGTGTTTATTACACACATACAAAAAGCTCGTGTGGTCGAAAGATATCCGTTTGGTATTTAAACCACATACAACAATGTCAATGACAACATGCCAATTGGAGCAGTTCCAGGTTATGATCATCCCGGACATACTGCTGCGGACGCCATAGACGAACAGGGGCGACATGACGAGTACGATAAATACGACCAGTATGGCGAGGACCCGCTTGATTATCCAGATCCGGATGATTTCTACATCCCACCCAGTGTGCAACATTCCTTTGAGCGCAAGGAGGCTAAGCACCGGGCAAAGAACTGCTATAGGAAGCGCATTCGTAATCTTAGTACCACGGATGCTGGTCTTGTTGGCACTATCACAGATGCTGGTCTTGTTAGCACTATCACAGATGCTGCTCTTGTTAGCACTATCACAGATGCCATATGTCTATCGCTAAACATTGGAAAGTAAAAAGATAAAGCTCTGATGGGTCTGTAGTTACGCGCAAAAGAAGCGCACCCGTCCTTTTGTAGAGTAATACATTTGTCAATTGACTTAGATGCCCTGGCACAGAATCAACATTGAAAAGTAAAAAGTAAAGCTCGGATGGGTCTGTAATTGCGCGCAAAAGAAGCGCACCCATCCTTTTGGAATTAAATGCCCCCGCAGTGAATCGAACACTAATCGGTCCATTACAAATGGACTGCTCTTATCCATTGAGCTACAAGGGCTTTCGATATACCGCTCGATACAGTATACAGCAGGACTTATGTGTTAATAGTATGTCAAAGATGTCTCGACAAACTTACAATAACGTATGGGAACAAAACGCTATAGTACTATACATCACTTCCCATATTAGCGATTTCAGGCGAAACACGGTTGTTGTTGGATTTTTGTTTTTATTCAAGTACATCCATTGCACCGCGACCCCGCGCCACTCACTGTTAGATACACATGCGCATTTCATCCTCCATCGTTTCATCCTCCATCGTTTCATCATCCGTCGTTTCATCCTCCGTCGTTTCATCATCCGTCGTTTCATCCTCCATCGTTTTA